TTTTATTCCCTTCGCCACCGGTTTTTTTTTCTTTCTGGTCCATCTGTCTATCTTGCAAAAGCCAGGATTGCCGCACTCTGGTCTCCGTTTCAGGCTGCAAAACCTGTCAGCTGTCACTTTGAGCCGTCGGTATCTTATGGCAGTCTGACTGGTGGAGCCCTGCCAAGTAAAGTCCAGCCTCATCATGTCTACTTGGAACGTACCGCGAGGCAGTGCCAGTGCGTGGGCTTGTGCTGAAGCTTGTGCGCGAGTGTGTGTGTGTGTGAGAGAGAGTGAGATATCAAATTCAACCTTGGCCGCCGCACACCTATATGGACGAGCCCAAGTAATCGCCGTCCACATCTGGCCGTCTTGTCTGGTTGCAAGAACAGGTGCCGACCCCAAAATCTACAGAAAAGGATCAAAAGGGTGCATGATACTTGAGGGCAAAACAGAGCGGCATTGGACAAAAGTGCCAAGTTGGCCAAGTCAAAGAAAGAAAGAAAGAGAGAAAGATAGATCGAACGCGTGACAGAGCCGCAGCGCGTGTGATTTTGTTTTGTTGCTTCTCAGTTTCCTGGATTTCTCTTGTTCTTCTCTTCCTTGTCCTTGTCCTCTTCGGGTCCGTGATCCACGCCAGCCTCATTGGCACTTTTCAGGTCTCCTTTCATGCACTCGATCCCTCGCCAACGCACACACGTGGCACGCACATGCAGCACGCACAGTCTGGACTGGACGCTCTTAGCAGGCTATCAGTCTACAGTCTACGGTCAACCAGTTGCATCTCTTTGCTCTCGCTCTCTCTTGGCCTGGCCGATTTGACAAAGCTGAGTAAGTACTATCGAGTTGTGCTTGTGCAAGAAGATCCGGCCCAGCGGCTGAGTTGGCTGTCTCGGCGGGGACCTTTCTTCGTTTTTTTCTTCTTTTTTTTCTTTTTTTTTTTTTCTTTGTCTCTTCAGTTTTCACACCATTGATACCAGATCTGCCATTTTCGATTTGTCGTTTTGCACTCTTCGTCTCACGTGTATTGTGTATATATTTTATTTCATTTCGCACGCGGGGCTAATGCACGCATAGACTGCCAGACACGCGGCGTTGAGTCTCTCTTTGTCTTGCACCCCGTGGACGAAAAGAGCCAACAGCCTCGGCAACAATACCAACAACAACAAGAACAACAACAAGACCAACAAGACCAACAGGCCCAAGACCCGCACCAACACCACAACCAACAGCAGCAGCACTCGCAGCAGCACCAATCTCTGGAGCCCACGCGCAAGCCGAAAAAGACAATCTGCCGGGCCTGCACCCAAAAGCTCCGACTCGCCCACACCAAAGTCCGCCAGACGGTGCTGGCCCCCTTGCGGCAAGCTGGGCCGTCCAAGCCAAAACCAACAACAGCGTCGGTGGTTGCCCGTTCTCGTCCAATGACCACGGCGACAACCATCATCACTACTCAAACCAGCAGAAAAGCGGTTGGAACAGCAGCTATGGGCCGCTTCACGACAGCAACGACGACTACTTCTTGTGTCGCCTCGGCTGATCCTTCACCACGGACGTCGAGCAGCTACAGCCACAACACTGCCAGTAGTAGTAGCAATCGCAGCTCCTCGGACCGGGGCGATTCCAGAGGAGACTATGCTGGGGGTGCGTTAGCCGGCTGGCACCAGCAGCAACAGGGCGGCCGCACCTCGTTCGCGGACGAAGCCCAGGCGTGCTACAACCTGCTCTTGATGATTCGCACCGACACGCAGACGCTGATCACCCTCCGCAACGACCATCTAGCCGAGCTGCAAAGAGCCTCATCGGCAGTGGGTGTCACGGCAAGCGGCAATGGCACACATAGCCAAGACGACAACACGGGCAACAGCAATGGCGATATCGATCGCTCCCTGCTCCTCGCCGCCGTCAACGAAGCCATCACATATGCCACCAAGAGCATCGCCGAGCTAGGCCCGTTTCTGGAACGGCACCGCTGGCCTGTCGGGTCGCCTTACTCGCCTCACTCCCCGGAAGCGTCGCCAACGACACCGCCAGGCTCGGAAAGTCACGGCACGTCGCGCATCAAGATGCTCAGCCGCGGGCGCAAGACCAGATCCTTCTTTGCACTCGGTTCCGCCTCGTCTGCACCGCCAAGCTCAAACCCGCCATCGCGCCAGTCCACGTCTTCCAGCTCGCACTTGGCCCACCACCAACAGCAACAAGAGCAAGACATGGGAGGAAATGGGGCACCTGGCCCAATGTCAGCTGCTGCGCTCTTCTCCTGGACGCTGGCGCTGACGGATCTGCACAGCGCCGTGCTAGCTGCTACAGCGCAGCTGAGGGGTTTCATCGAGTTTGGCATTGGCGCCGTGGGTGTGAGCGAGGAGCATCGCAAGAAGCACGCTGCGCGGAAGTCATGGTGGGAGCAGGATCGGGGCGAGTTTGAGAATGTCGACTTGATTCAGAGCCTGTTGGGCGGACGGCGGCCAAGACGGGAGCAGTGGAAGACAAGCGAGGAAAGGAATGACCAGCCGCAGCCAGACGCAACAGTGGCGTCTATGCAAGGAAGCTCGTCAGTCCAGGAGCATCAAGAAGCTCTATCCTCACCTACCAGCTCATCATCATTGGTCAGTATCGGCACCAAGGACACGAACAAAGGCAAGGGCAAGGGCAGGGAACGGGACGACGGCGCCACGGCACTGCTCACACCAGTCATGGAAGTGGACGACGCCCGCTCCGAGAGGTGGGCTTCGCCGCTGTCTGCGCCCTCGACCATCAAGTCGACCAGCCACGATGACGGTCTCACGGCCAGACCGAGACAACAGCGTCAGGGCTCGCTGCAACACGACTCGCCGTTTGCTGTTGCTCGCCGGTCCATGACGGATCCATTGCTTTCTTTGTCGACGGCGTCCTTGACCTCCTCGTCTTCGTCGCCAGCAGGAGAAGCACCGCAGCAGTCTTTGCACATGGCCCGCAGTGAGACTTTTGGAGCGACAGGTCGTCGAGGAGCATCGAGAGCTTTGGAACAGCGCCAGCAGCAGCAACAACAACAACAACAACAACAACAACAACAACAACAACAACAACAACAACAACAACAACAACAACAACAACAACAACAACAACAACAGGGACAGCCAACGCCGCCAGTATCGAGGTTCAACAGGCCCGAATACAACAAGAACCCACGACGTCCCACGATGCCTACCATCACCACCACGCAACACCATGGCCAATCATTCCAGTATGCACCCTTGCCTGCACTGAATGTGCTGCAGGAGCAGCTCAGCCAGGTATTGTCGGATGTCCAGCTGGCCTCTGGCTCGGGGCTTTTGCTGCTGTCTGGTCCCGGGTCTTCTTTGAACGACGGCGAGTCCTCACCGTTGTCCAAGGGGATTCCACATCTCCTCCCTTCCACGGACAACTCCCACACAACAGTCCCGCGGCGGATCAGTTCTAGCCCCATCCTCCTCTCAACACCTCTTTTCACCACAAAACACTCAAGTACAAACATAAGCCCAAGTCCAACGAGAAGCAATACCTCACCACTTCCTGCCAGTACCACCAACATCCGTCCTCTATCCTCATCTACTGCAACAGCCACAGCAGGAGCAGCAACAACAACCAACACCCTCTACACGCCTAACACCCCCGCCACGCCCCTCGATTCACACCTGCTCGCCCTCATTGCGCAGAAGGCCCTCCCCAGCAAGACCTTCCAGCCCGTGATCGCCGCGCTGGACGACATGATTGATGTTGCACCGCCTGTATCGCCTCTTTCCCCGCTCAGCCCTCATGCTCATTCTGCCAAGAACAGCGACGGGTTTGGTGGCGAGCACTCGCGGCAAGACACTGTCGGTAGTGTCGCGGCCAAGCCCATGTTGACAATCGCCCCCAACGACGGCAACGCCACTGCCGCGAGCAACGTCAGTCTGCGCGTCCAGCCTTTGCGACCCCAGCACCAGCTCATTCAGCGCGTTTCAGTGCACCCGGTGATTGAAGAAGGCGGCGGACCTCCTACGCCAGATGAGGACTACAATGATAACCAGAGCCCTCACCCGCAGCAGCAGCAGCAGCAGCATCTACAGCAGCAATCACACACCCAGACACTCACTTCATTGCCACAGGTAGTAGTCGTGCCCGCTTCGTCCTCTCCACCGCCTGTATCGCGGTTGAGTAGCACTAGTTTGTCGAGTCAAACGCCGCAATTCCAGACTCGGCCCCAATCTCAAGGTCAGGCCAGGATGCACCATCAAGCAAAAGCGTACACACCACTGCCTTTTTCGCATCAGGAGCAAAAGCAACAACGGCCATGGTCATCTGGCCCGACAGCTGGTGGTGTTACTGGCGCTTCTGCCAGCGACCCGGCTTCCAACAGTGATGAGCACCAGCCCTTTCTCGCATACATGGCGCGCAAACAGGCTGTGACTGCGGCGCGGTGGTCCTTGGATAAGGCGTAGGTGGATTTGGCTGGTGACAAGAGGCAGCAGGCAGCAGGCAGCAGCAATGATACTGATGCTGGCCTGGACATCTCTCATTATATTGAGTTTGTGTGGGAGTTGCAAGGTCTCGTCCAAGCTGGATACGAAGAACATTCAGGTCAGGATTAACATTTACATTAGCGCAGATGTCTTTCGTTCTTGTTTAACTTGCTTTTCGCACGGCGTTGGAGAACAAGCGGGAAGAATAATCCATGGTTTTTTTTGGTTTTTTTTGGATGGTTTCCACTTCCTGGGACAACAAGATCTATATACTAAATCTAATTGTCCAAGGCGTTTTCGTTCTTGAGAAAGGTGTGATGTAGATATGATGAAGTTTGCAAGCGTCGAAACAGAGGCTATTCTGCCCACTCCACGTCAATCCGCGCATGCAAAAATGGTCGCGATTTTAATCGCCAAGAGCAACTTGCCAACATCAAACACGCATTGTCGTCACAAATAATTCAGGAACAAGGAAAACACAGGGGGAGAGATAATGAGAGCGAAAAAGCAAGACGAGGAAAGATAAAAAGCAAAAATTGGAAATCCGATGAAGTTCTCAAACTCCGATACGGGGAATCGAACCCCGAGCTTGACGGTGCCCTGATTTTTTGGGAAATGAGAGCGTCAGATGTTAGCCATTACACCATATCGGATTGAAATGTCAGGTTTTGTTTATCATATATATAGTACATTCAATTCGGCAAGTGAACTGTCTTGCTGTCATTGCAACGCGTGCTGTGACATGTGAAATAGCTTCACTTTTGCCAACACCAATTAAAAACAAAGCCATGGAAAAGGGCGAAAGAGGGCAAAAAGGGGGGGGGGGGAAGGAAAAAAAGGGAAGAGAAAGACAAATCCCAATTGATCCATAGATTTTGAGGATATCACACCTGCAAAACCAGGCGACATTCAGCGTGTACGTTAGTCTTGGTGGTAGACTCTTTGGAAAACATTGACCTGCGTTTTCTTGTTTTTTCTAGATCTCGACCTGCCAACTATTGTTACCAAGACGTCTAGACAGCTCGTATGCAATAATAATGTTCCTTCCTTGCGGACGTCCTATCAGCATGAAATCTGGGTGCTGGACTCTAAATGCAATTTTCTTCTCGTTCGGGACATGCCAATCATGCATGACTTCGGGAGAAGTAGTAACCAGCAGCCTCGTCGCTGATTCACAGCGTGTAGATACTCCCTCAAAGCAAGACCGCAATTTACGTGGACTCAACCCTCAACATCCAACACGGTGAAGAACAAACATCAAGTATCGAATATCGCTTAACCAACAATGACATGACTCCAGGAACGAGATTCTTGTGAATCATCACCTTGGGATATCGAACCACCAGAATACTCACCAAACATGACACCTACCGAAATCGGCATGCAGTGCCACCACTGCCACCACCACCACCGCCGCCGCCGCCGCCGACATACGTACGTGCCTGGGAGTATGACAAGCTCCTGCCTGTATCTTTCCGTTCTAGGTCTTATGTTCTACCATCTTCTTCCGAATTCTTCTTGAACCCCCCCCCCCCTTTTCCTGTCCTTGGCTTGCTGTACGCTCGTAAAAGCGGCCATACAGACAACACGAGTACCATCGTCAACCTCCAATTGGCACTTCCCCGTCATCCTCACCACCATCAACAAAGAACTGGCTCTGGTCAATCAGCCTCAAATCAATACTAATCACGCAAGCGTACATAGCACCAGAGTCCATAGTGCATCTTGTCCACCAAAGTACTACCTGGCCATGCTTTGACCGCCACAGAAAGTAATAGTCTACCAAACCTAACAATCATTTTAGCTTTTTTTTTCTTTCTCAATATAGTACTTATTTCCTCCCAAAACATCGCACGATTGCAATTTCGGCTTTTCTTTGGGCCCAGTACTGGTGTCATCGTTCCGCTTTCCCTAATGCTCCCTTTCTCATCTGAATAGATTTTCTCTTGCCAAATCGATGAATCATTTCCACATTCTCTCTTTAGCAAAGCACCCCCACACCTGCCTAACATAACCCGAAAGGAAATGAGAGAGGCACAAATAGCTTCTTTGCACAGACTCTATATGGCGTTGTACTAAAACCCGATTCAGCCTTGAGAAGTGCTGTATAGCGCTGTGCGTTTGCCAGCGCTTGGTCAGCGTTGCAAAATAGAGTTTCTAGCATAGAATTGGAAGCTGCATGCACTATATTAGTGCCCAGGGCTCTGTTTTTTCAGGTTCGCGCACGTGGCGTATAGTGTTCAATGTGTTGATTTTGGAGCCAGCCGTTCAAGTCAATTCGATCATAGTATATGCATATGGCGAGCTGAAGCGCATTGCTGAAGACGCATCACACCAAGTTACTCTTGCTGCATCGAACAGCAGAACAGCATGCCAGTAGGAGAGCAATGACGATCATCACAGTTGGTGCTGGGTCATTTACCGCGTTCGTGGCAGCCATTTAGCCGCAGTCCAAGAAAAAGAACAGGCCAAGATTGTCATTGTCGATTTGTGTGTATGATCACGAAAACCACCTTCACCGCTACACAGCTAGATCAGACAGGCAAAATCTGATGAACTGACCGCAGCGCAATGGTAGGCTGATGGTGCGACAGACCAGGACTGTGCCTCTTCGGACCAAGAGGGGCACTTGGCACGCCGCATGGGCCGATGCCATGTATTTGGGTACACAGCCTCTCATTGGCTACATCCTGCAGCCAGCGAACATATGCCCAGATTCGCACTAAGCGATAGCAGAATTTAGACAAAAAGTTTCCTCAGTTTCAGCCCGGACCGCAGGGCCGGGAGCGCTGCAAGCTATTGAGGATGGTGCAGTTGCGGCTCACAAATAGTCTCGGACGGTGCAACCGCACACAAAGATTGCGGTGAACATGTAAACAGACAGGATTGGACAATTCGAGAAAGTAGAGTTCGTGAACGGGACTGCGCTGTGCAACGGTTCCTTTAGCCATGCGCTTGTCCCGAACCAAGCGGCTCAGCCCAATGTTGAACTGTAGAGTGGGACTTGGGCTGCCCTGCGGAGATGACATGATTTCTTTGTTTTGTTTGTAGTGCCAGTGTTTCTTTGTTTGTTGTTGGTGGCTCGGACATGATCGATGGACGGGAAAGGTAGCTGGCCAAGATCCCGTGACCACCAATTCGTTGACCGCCGACTGCCCTTTCACGCTGGCTTGGCTAGTGAGATGATGGCGCCTGGTGTAGACAGTGCCACGGGACTGTCAGACACATCAGCCCTGGCTCGGACTGAGCGACAACAGGTAACGGCTGGCTGGTGGCTGGGCATGTGGTGGCTGGTCTCATGAGCCAAGTCGGTAATTTTCTCGAAGCCAAATCAGCAGAAGAAGGCCTTGCCAAACGGTGCACGCCAGTCGCGTAGCCATGACGTTGACCTTGGGCTGGGCGTGCCGAGAGAAGCTGCGGTGTCACCAGAATGCCAGGCTCAGCTACTCGCAAGGCGGCAGATTGTGGTGCATTTCATTTTGCGCAAGTTTTGCCGGCTTCCAGATAGATGGGCGAGATCCCTACTCTGTCGCCTCGTTTTCTGTCTGCAAGGGAAACAGGACATTTGGACACTGGTGGACTGCAGAGTTGGGAAATCCCCAGTCTTTGCGACATTAAAGCTCAGCAGATCTGCGGCGCTCGAGTGCAGCGTCTCCGTGCACGTGGGGCTTTGCGACGCAGTCAACTGCAGGCACCACGATAATCTAATCGGATCGGTAGCAGCCGAAGTACATGGCCAGGCTGTACTTGACGATCAGCATGTTTTGCTGGCTCCGACCCGACGGCATCGTTGGTGGTGGTTGTAATGGAAAGACAGGGATCGCGGCGAGAGAAAAGGGTGACAAGAAAGAAAACTCGTGGATTGCCGAGGACGCTCCCGAAGCGTATTGGGGTACGCCCTGTAAATCGTGCTGATCTGACAGCACGTACAGCGGCAAGCCCTGCTGTTTCCTGCGGTTCTGGGTACATCGGCCCGACCCAAGGCGCCAGCCATGTCGCAGGTACCTTCGGATTGGCATTGTGTCTGAACAATCTGGGAAAGCACGATACGAAGAAGCGGTTTCACACCAAACACACGCGCCGTTGGTCCGCTCGTTTGCTGGTGGTGACTAACATCACAGAGCTGCAAGTAGATATCCAAGTGTCCAAGTACCTGTTGATTACTCATTCTCGGCCACGGAAGAATGTCCGGCGATGCAAGTCATGCATGTCCAATGCCATGCTGCTCTAAACACCAACATGCACTATATACGGGGCTGGAAGAGGACCCCAGGCAGGCCAGCTTGCCAGGGTAGCGTTGCAGCGCATCATTGTGCGCTCTGGACGCGGAACTATATGCTGCAGCCTCGGCCGTGGCTGTTCATGATGCAACCTCTGCTCCCTGTTCTCGACCCGTGCTCTGTATGGACTGGGCCAGTCTGGCAGTGGTAATGCTGCTATGTGTGTAGTGGCAGGATAGTAGGGCTGGGCAGCGCGGCCACAGAGCACAGACAAAGGGCATAGAAGGGAAATGGAACGGGCTGTTTGCCTGGCGATGAAGCTTCTGGACCAAGCAAGTCTAGACAACGTTTTGCCTACCAAGACGGCACTATGTCATTCCCGCATCCGCATCCGTCCTAGAGCCGGCCCAAGAGATGGCAGAGCCAGCCAACCACTGGCCACCGAGACAAAGAAAACAAGACCAGCGTCGAACGACAACTGATCAGCACCACCAACCCAGCACGCAATAGCCCTCTCGTCATCCCCAAAGGCCAAGCGTGCGCAGGGTCTACATGTGCAAGTATGCATGTACAATGTTCTCCTTCTACTCGCTACCAACAAGGTGAATAGTGCATGGCATTACAAGACAAGAACTCCATTGTTGTATAACAGCGACTGCCACCACTATGTACTCATGCTCCGTTTTCGGGTTGATGTTTAGCATTAAAGGCCTGCATTGTCTGCTCACAGGCCGGCTGCCTTGAGTATATTAACTTTGTCATCCATCCACGACTGCCACGGGACGCATCGAACGGTCTCCTACACCTTTGTCGACGTCTTGGCGGTCGCGTGACACTCCACAAACAGAGGACCCTGAGCAATCCTCTTCGGCCTCAGTCCGCAGCGGCTTGTTGGCTGCGCATGACAAGATCGAGTCAAGTGTGCTTGACGAAAAGGCTTGGACGCTGTCAGTCAATGTCAGCACGCCAGCCACGAAACGGAGCGCAAGAGGAGAACACCAGAATCCAAACCCCAGAAACACGACGAGACACGACACGACCAGCCACGACGACACTCCTGCTATCCACCTGCAAGACCTGAGAAGAGAGAAAGCGAGCAAGAGCAAAAGACCCGTCTGGCGTGAGAGTCTCCACCTCTCGACTTCGGCTCATGCTGTGCCATTTCATCTGCAACTTATCTGGCACTATCCGCAATTCTCCTTCATCTCACGGACAGCCCAAACACGACTACGGGCCTTGTGCTCCATAGCGCACGCTCGGTTGCTGGCCGCCGCGCTTGCTGCCTCTTGTTCGCACGTCCCTTGTCGTCTCGTTTGCTCAGGCGCGCCTTTTCTCTCTCGGCGCGAGTGCCGTTAGCCGACCGGAGCCTTGCTGGTCCCCGATACTTCCAACTTTTTGATCGCTGCAGAAGAACTCTGGCGCTGAACAGCAGC